CAGCAGCAAGCTCAGTCTTTTCTCTTCGCTACTATACCGCAGCCCTCTCACTTTGCTTTGGGGGCCCCCCAGGGCCCCTGGGGGGCCCTTGGGGTCCCTGCTGGGGGCCCCCCCCCTTCAGCTGTTCTCCGCGAGGAAGCTGCAGCGCAGCAGACGGGGCTGCTGCAGGCTGCGCTGGTTTGCTGCTTCAAATATAATGAAACGCAGCAGCAAGACCACCAGCAGCAGCAGCAGCAGCAGCAACAGCAGCAGCACGTGCTGCAGCAGATGATGGACCTCAGCGGAGTCAGCGAAGGGCCCCAGTGGAGCATCCCCTGGCTCCCCAACCCCCCTTCTGTTCTTGCAGCTAACGATACACCGCAGCAGCAGGAGCAGCAGCAGCAGCAGCAGCAGCAGCAGCAACAACAGCAGCAGCAGGAACAGCAGCAGAAGGAACAGCTGCTGCAACAACAACAGCAGCAACAACAGCAACAACAGCAACTGCTGTTGCTTCAGCAGCAGCAGCAGCAACTTCTTCTGCAGCAGCAGCAGCAACAGATGCTGCAGCAGCAACTGTGGAGAGGAGGTTCATCTGGGGGTGTTACAGGGGCCCCATCAGCAGCACGGCGGCTCCAGGAACAGCAGCAAGAGCAGCAGCAAGAGCAGCAGCAGCAGCAGCCAGAGCAGCAGCAGCAGCAGCAGCAGCAGCAGGAGCTGCCTCGGGGTGCTTTATCAGCAGCAAAAGGGCCCCGCAGCAGCGCGGAGACACGGACCTTCAACGGCACCGTCTGCAGCCTCGCTGCTGTTGAGCTGCTGCTGCTGTCTATCGAGGAGACCTTCAGTCTTCGTCTTCTTGCTGCTGCTCCGCAGAAGATAGCAGCAAATGCATTACATACAGACGGGCTAGATGCTGTCTTTGATGCGGGGGCAGCAGCAGCAGCACAGCAGCAGCAGCAGCAGCAGCAGCAGCAGCAGCCCGCTATACTGGAGACAGAAGCACTCCTCAGACTGCAGCACGAAGAACAGCAGAGGCAGCAGCAACTCCTCATGCAGCAATATGCTGTCAGCAACGCACAGAGGCAGCAGGACATGCAGCAGCAGCAGCAGCAGCAGCAGCAGCAGCAGCTGGGGGCAGCCAGGCAGCCAGCAGCAGGGGCTCTTCTATCAGCACCAG